TCTCATTTGCTAAGATAATATACTTAGATATATATTTACATACTTACAGGATATACCTGTATTATAAAGTGGTCTGAGCATTACCTGTATTATAAATGTGTTCTGAGCATTTTTGTTTTTTCATTTATCACTACTTTCTTTATCCAATTTCATTTATTGTCACTTTGCTTTATCCCATTTCATTTATTACCACTTTGCTTTATCCCATTTTATTTATTACCACTTTGCTTTATTTCACTTCATTTATTACCACTTTGTTTCCATTTTACTTTGTTTTTTATTGTTTACCATCTTAAGACTGTTCTATTCTGGATTTTGCTTCTGATAAAATTGATCAACCTTTATCTCTTTACCTATCTGCCAACTTTGTTGTTTTTGGTTAAATGATGCTTTATCTCTGATGTACATTTATGGTTATATGTATATATATATATATATATATATATATATATATATATATATATATATATATATATATATATATGTTATATATACTAGCTGTCATGACCCGTACGATACGGGTTGTTGTAAGTTTATTCCACACTTGACTATTTCTAAACTTATTCCTAATTTAGTCTTCATAATTTAATTTATTTAGTAAATGGCAAAAATAATATCAATTAAAAGTTCTGGTAGTAGGTAAAATGCGAGTTTTTTGCAAACCATAGATCTATTGGTTGTTAAATGATAATTAATTTATAAAAAAACTTCTCAATTAAATAAAATATATCAAATACCATTATATTTAATTTAACAAATTTGTAAGCAAATGTTTTAAATATCATAACTGTTGTGGTCATTAAAATGTCTTGGTTTGATTTTTGCATTTAAATAACTATCTAAAGTTCTTGCCTTTTGGTTAATTTACTATAATTTAGAACTTACTTAGTACTTTTACTTATTTACTTTAGTATTTTCTACATAATGAAAGTATCTTATGCATATAAGACAGTTGCGTAACATTTCTTTAGGTGGTTTTGGAAACTTAGGCTATGATAATGATATTTTAACAATCTCATAAGGATTTATTATGTAAGTTTGGATATTGAAAAATGGGCCTAAGAGACATAGTTATTTAAATAAGCTAGCTTTATCTGTTTGATGTTTTTATAAAAGTCTTTTTGAAAAAAAACTCTTAACAAATTCAAACAATTAAGCTGTTTTTACTGCGGAATTTGGCAAATAAAGTTTTAAATCTGTTGTTTGTGCAATCGATACTTAATGCAAATGGAAAACGTCTTGATCGTACAAAAAGTGATAAAAGTATAAATGTTTTCCGTTCACATAACAAAAGATAACGGAAATATAAAAAACAAAGCAAAAATAACCACTATATCCATTCAAAACAATAATTCCAAAGATAAAAAATATAGAAATTTATTTGAGAAACAAACAAAAAAACTTTCTTGAGATAAAATAAAAAAATGAACTTAAAAAAAAAACTACAATATTATTAAGCTTTGTTTTGGCTTTTTGAATGCAATCAACATTCAAAACATTTCTAAAATTCTGCTTTGTTGGAACTTTCAAAATCAGTCATAGAAGAAGGAATTCAACCTGAAAATGGAACAAAATTATTATTGAAAACACTTAATACATATTAATTTGTTATGTGCTCTATTGATTTATTACTCAAAAATTAATTAAAACTCAAATTAAAACTCAAAAATGTGATTAAACAAATAAGAAATTTACTTTGTGAGGTTGTTAATCTTTTGTGAAAGTTTCATGATTTATTGTTGCAAGTGTGGATTAACAACTCTTTTTAAAAAAGCAAGGCTAAAAATAAATGATCACAATAAGATATACCTTTGTTTTTATTTGAATCTTTAGCTATGAATGATTGTATGTAGTCAGTTTAAGTAATAAAACTACACTATCATTTTAAATTAAAGACTCCGATGTGAAAGTAAACCAAGTCATCCAATCTATCAACACAAAACAATACAACAATAACATCACAAAATTAATAAATAACATATTACAGTAAACTCTAAATTACACAAACCTTAAAGGGGACCAAGAAATTAGCTTGTTAGATAATGCTAGAGTTATTAGCATTATAGTCCATAAATAAAGGCTCAAATGAAATTTTAAAATTAGTTTAAGTTAAGGGTTATTGAGTTATCCAGAGTTTATTTTTCATATTTTAACTACTAACAGCATACACATAGAAACACTAACAAAATATAAACCCATACAGTCTTATATAACACATAATAAAAAAAAAACACATTACTACATCATATGACATAAAAATACTTGTCAAAAACTATATATATCAAGAAAATTTACAAATATAACATTTTTGAAATTTTTATTCAACGACGTATCTTGTTTATGCATGTGTATATGCAAATGTTATGCAGGTGTTATGCAAATGACTTGGTTTTAGAACATGCTACATAGAATTGGTTGTATGAAAACCAAGGGTTTTTTGAGATCAATAGCAACTTTATCAAATGGTTGACCCTGACCTTTTTTTATTGTCATTGATTATTGTTAATAAAAGTGTCTTATTTAATAATTTACATAAATATTCAATATTTTTTTATTTGAATATATATATATATATATATATATATATATATATATATATATATATATATATATATATATTAGGGTGGGTCACTTTTGAAAAAATTTTGAATTTAGGTTCGGCCCAGCCGAACCTAAATTTTTCTTATGTCTTTGACTGTATGATACTGAGAACCAAATCTCTTTTTATTTGCATTTAATGTTTAGTCAGGTAATTTTCAGTTTGAAAATTTTAGTTTAATCTTAAATATATAATTTTCCCAGTGTTGTGTCAATTTTTTTACTATTATCTTTATATATTTACTATACATCTTCAAACCACTTTAAATCAAATAAATATCTTAAACTACACCTATATTATCAATAAAATGTCAAAATATGATCCTAAATTATAGCAACTAAGGGGGTATTTTACCATAGAAATGGGTAATAGTTAATTTTGAAAAGTGTATTTATGAGGTATTTCCGAAAATTTTGTTTATGTATGCCAAAGTCGGACCATTAGTAATAGTTTTATTAGTTGTTAAAAGGAAGAAATAAGAGCACATGTATTTATTGTATAGAAATAAGTTTACAGTTATAAAGAATGGCTCAAAACACTCGTGATAAAGTTAAATGTAAATTAACAAAGCAAATTGGTACAGGAAAAACGTTATTAGAGTCAGAACTACTAACTTTAAGAGATGTTTTAAGGTACGGTTTCTTTCTTAAAAGGATTGAAGAAAATAACCAAAATTTAAGGCTAACTTCAAAAAAGTTTTGAACCTCATTAAAATATTTATGGCAAAAGCTAATCTACTTATACCCATTATCTCTGATAAAAGAGAAAAGAAAGAATCATATATGACTGGAAAAAAGCATATAATCTGGTGTTAGGTAGGGGAACATCTAAGCAACTTTCTGATCATAAATTAATCTTAGATAAACTGTTTTGTAATTGCTCAACAAATACTGCTAGCATTAAATGATAAAATGTAATCCTTTATCAAAAAATCCCTTTCATTACTTTGAAACGTATTTAATGCGAGATTTGCAATTAATAAGTAAATACAAAACTATTAATAGAAAACCTTTACAAACAATCATATATTGCTTCAAATGAAGTAAATTTAAAATATTGAAACTTCTGAACTGTTTTAATTTTTTTTATATATTTAATATTCCAAAGAAAATAGGTCAATATATAAAACATTTAAATATTATTATGGAGAAAACATTCTATATACAAAAAATCCTTAAAATTTAATGAAAGTTACTAAAACTTGTGTAACATTTTGTACACATACCTTAATAAATAAAACAATAAATTTAAGTTAAACATATTTAATGAAGAAAATAAAGACTCTTAAATGTTTAAATAGGGAGGAGCTATTTAGCTAACTAAGCCAGGTCATAACAATTTGAAACAAAATAATAACCACTAACAAACTATAAAAAAATAACATCACAAACATTGAAACACACATATATATATTAAAGATATTTACACGCTTACAAAATATAAACCCATATAACCTTAACACATATAAACCCATATAATCTTAACACATATAAACACATAATAACACACAATATAAATAAATATATAAATTAAAAAATATATATAAAATAGAAACTTTAAAAATACAACCTTATTTTTTGTAATATTTGTTTAATGAAATACCTTGTAATAAATGTTTAACAGCTTGAAAAAAACAAAAGATCAAACGATCTGATTTTTTATATAAAAGCAAACAGATTTTTTTAAACTTCTTTAAAATAAGGTATTAAACGATCTTGTTCTTTAACATGATACATAGAGTTGACAGTGTCAGATGTAAGGATTTTGGAGATAAACACTAACTTTATCAAGAGTTTGACCTTTGAAAAGAGCAATGTCTTCTAGAGTCACCATCGTCTTCTAATTTAAAATTTATAGATTAATATACTTTAAATACAATTGACAAAGGACTTGAATTGTGTTATTATTATAATGCATGAATTAAATAAACTACCTGACTTTAAATGTTACTTTACTAATTCAAAAATAACACAAGGTTCATCATTTACTACAAAGTTATCAAATAAAAATTGTTGATCTTATCACTAATTAAGCTGATGAAGCGAAGTTTTCGATCTCATTACTTATTAAGCAGATACTGGCAGATTATTAAGATTTGATAGTACTACATTGCATGAGTTTAAAAGTATAAAAAGACAAAGCATGCTAAAGCCTATTTATAATATTTATTATTATATTACCATTTAAATGGTAAAAAAAAGTCAGTGTAAACGCGCATAAATGGGCAGGAGCAGCAGCGTTAAATTAAGTATTAATTATAAGCGATTGTATATAAATATATTTTATATATATATATATATATATATATATATATATATATATATATATATATATATATATATATATATATATATAAATATTAAAACATAGATTTTTATGAACTAGATTGTTATATTTTCAGATGTTTCAGTGCAATATCCATCATCCAATGATAACAGCATGGTTAGTGATGCATTAAGTCGCGAAAAGTTACTAAAGAGACATGTAAATGATCTTCTGACTTTGTCTATAAATATTGAAATAAAACTTACAGTAACAGATGAAAAAAGGGCTATAGTAAGTTTCTTCATTTTATAATTTTAAATTTTATGAATTATTAGTGCTATTAATTGTTTTCAAAAGTTTTAGTACTATGAAATGTTTTATTACAAAAAAAAAAATCATTTTAGTACTGGAAACTTTTTTAAAAAGTTTTATTATTGATTGCTAAATCTAGGAATTTTCCAGAGTTTAGAAAGATTAAAAAGAAAGCTCTGATTATTTTAATTTTTTCTTCTAACTTTTCATAAATGTTTTTGTTATTTTATAATTAGATTGATTTTTGTTATTTTATTATTAGATTTTATGAAAATTTAATGTTCAACTTTAATAGTGTAAAGAAAAATTGAAAAATAAAAACATAAAAACAGTTTGTTTTATGTAGCCAAAAATTTATGTGCTTCAAATGCAATCCATCTCCATGATACTTCTTGAGATCATAATATGATTTTCAGAATTTTATTTTGCAGTTTAAATAGTATTTGCTGGTTTAGGAAATCAGAAAGAACATTATGGAGATAAATGCCACACCTAAAGAAGTTGCACAAATTTTGCTTGTTTTTAAAAAATCCAACCAAAGCAGGACTTTAACAAACAAAGATAGCTTAGAGGTAAGTAAAACAAAATAACTTTTTTCATAATATTTTTCTCATATTATTTTATACAAAGTTGTTATTATGTTTTTTTATTTCTACAAACTTGTGTTAGATATCATCCTTAAATTTTAAACTTGTGTTAGATAACATCCTTAAAGAATGAGTTAAGAAGATTGAAGAAAATTTTATGTTCAAAGGAGAAATTCATTACAAAAACATTAAATATGATTGAGGTAGTTATTAATTTGAACAAGACTTTCTACAGCTTTAATATGAACATATCCAATACATACATGATATGAACATATCGAATACATTTATGGTATGAGCAAATTGAGGACATACATAATAGAACCAGAATTGAAATTGAGTACATACATAATAGAACCATATTGAACCAGAATATTGATTGATATTAAAATTTAATTCAATCTGAATTATCAATCTTGTTCAATTGACTTTGACCAAACTAGAGTTCCCTAATAAAAGTTTTTATTTACTAATTACAATTTTTTTATCAAAATATCATAAAGTCTATACTGTAGCACCTAAAATTTAGTTATAACACTAAAAAATTACTAAAATAACATATATAAAGTGTCTACAATAGCTCCTAAAATTAAATCATCAATCTAATGAAAAACATTAAAATTCATTGATTTGCTATTGTTTAAAAACATAATGCCAGAGGTCTTGGGTTTAGATATGACAGGGAAATAAATAATAGGAGACTTAAAAATAACTTCATAACAAATAGTTAAGCATTTGAAAAATAAAATAAATTTATAAAAAATTTTCACAAAAATAAGCAGCTGTGGTAGTGATTAGAGTTCTAAAACTGGATAAAAAAATGTAAAACTTCCTGGTTAAATACTATTTTGCAATGCTTTGTGATAAGACCGTATATGTGATAAGTACTTTTCAGAGCATCTAAATAACATTTAAAAAAAAAACTTTCTAGCCTATAAAATTACGTCTTAGTGGCTTTTTACTTATATGTACTTAAAATAATATTCTAAATAAGTAAAATCTAAAATTTTACAATTAAATCTTACGACTTTAGGAGTCAGGTTAATAACTTACAGTGACACTTATAACTACTACATAAAATTTTTAGTTTTATTTTTACTGCTTTTAAATTATTACAATAATTTTTTATCTAGAATAATATTCTATGGAAAGAAACGATGAATCAATCACTTATGAAAAAACGTTTGTTAATCATTTTTTAAATTTTTTATTTTGATGACTATAATAAATTATGGTGATAAAGATGATGATATTAATGATGATGATGATGATGCTGATGATGTTGGTAATGATGATGATGATGATGATGATGATGATGATGATGATGATGATGATGATGATGATGATGATGATGATGATGATGATGATGATGATGATGATGATGATGATGATGATGATGATGATGATGATGATGATGATGATGATGATGATGATGATGATGATGATGATGATGATGATGATGATGATGATGATGATGATGATGATGATGATGATGATGATGATGATGATGATGATGATGATGATGATGGTGATGAGCAATAAATAATATATAATATAAAAAATATATTATACATTATTTATTACAATAATAAGCAAGACAATTTTTAAAATTAACTCAATTCATTTATATATATATATATATATATATATATATATATATATATATATATATATATATATATATATATATATATATATATATATATATATACATATATATATACATATATATATATACATATATAATATAAAAAATATATTATACATTATTTATTACAATAATAAGCAAGACAATTTTTAAAATTAACTCAATTCATTTATATATATATATATATATATATATATATATATATATATATATATATATATATATATATATATATATATATATATATATATATATATATATATATGTATATATATATATATATATATACATATATATATACATATATATATAAACATATAAATATACATATATATACATATATATATACATATATATATACATATATATATACATATATATATACATATATATATATATATATATATATATATATATATATATATATATATATATATATATCTGTGTGTGTACAGTATTGTGCAAAATAATGTGAACATGGGTTTGTAAAACTAAAAAAACAACATTTTAAACAAATAAACGCATTTATTATAAAAAAGATGAAGTTAGTTTTTTTTACAGTTTTCTTTTATTTTGTTGTTACAAAATCACATCTGAATCACTATCACTATCATACTTTTTTTTTTCCTACAGTCGATTGTTCTTATCTGAGGTTTGCATATAGTTTGCATATAACCCACAAATTTTCAATCAGATTAGAGTCAGGTGAATTTCCTGGCCAATCTAATATGCTTAGATTATTTTCTAAAAAGTACTTTACCATTTTTTTTAGACCTTAGAGGCAAGGTGCAGAATTTTGTTAAAACCATGCTTCGCCAGTTGCATTTACTTTTTTCAATTCCAGCTTTAGTTTTTTGTCTAGTAATTTTTTATATTTTTTGGAATTCATCATTTCTTTAATGGCAATCAGTTGTTCTGGGTTGTAGTGTGAAAAACAGCCCTTACTTTTTGTTTTACAGGTTATTCAATGTGACCAGTTCTTAATTTTTCATCATCACTCTTTCTCACATATCGTGACCATTGTCCCTAGGCAATAAAGTGTGTCTCAACAGAAAATAAAACCTTTTTTTTTTATCTGCTGTCCAATTAGCATATTTTTTTACATAAGTATATTCTTCATATTTTCTGTCAATAAACTTCTTCTGTCTTTTTCCCACTGTAGAATTGTGAATCATCAGTTCATTGGCTTCCAAATCTCTTTGCAAGTCAAAACTTTTCACTCTTGAATTTATTTCAGTGCTTCGATTGATGTTTTTCTTTCTCAGCCACATTTTCCTATTCTTTACATAACAACCCAGTTTCCTTTTTCTGATTAATGTTTTTGTTTACAGCCTCAAAACTAATTTCACATTCTTCTGCAATCTTTCTTGGAACCAATGAAGTATGTTCACTCAACATGATAATTTTTTCTTGTTTTGATCAAATTGATATTCATTGTGGGAAAAAAAAAAAAACTTAGTAGGCAGTATTTTACAAAATACAACAATAACTAGGAATTGTCTGTGCACATGTTCACATTATTTTGCACACTACTGTATACATGTGTATTTGTATATATATATATATATATATATATATATATATATATATATATATATATATATATATATATATATATATATATATATATATATACAAAATGCTCACTTTGGGAAATGTTCTATTTATATTCAATAAAATTATTTGCAATTTAAAAAATTTCGAAACTTTGTCATTTTTTTGGGAAAAACAAAACAAATTACATTTTCATGGTTTCATTTAAGTATTACGAAGTAGAACAGAACGTCGCTTAAAATGCTATTTACGCCTCATAAATTGGTATAATAACAACAAGTTTGCCATTTTTAAAGGAGTTTCCTTTTTTTTTTGTTGGGAAAAGAATATTTTTTACAATGTTTTAAGATATAAAATATTATATAAAATCTAGTATGGATAAAGTATTTATATTAGCCATATATTTAGCTTCTTTTTCAGACTGAATTTATTTATTAAAAATGAATGCAAAATGTGGATCTAGGAAACATACATGAAAAAGAATACATAATATTATAACTAGACATGAAAGTGAAAGTTATGCTGGGCAACCAAAGGAACAACCTGTTAGTGACCTCCCAACATATAAACAGATTATTCAATATGTCTATAAGGTCGAAAAAAAATGATTACAACTAAAAAAATTGATTCTGCTGCCATAGTTTTAAAAATAAGTGAAGAAATTTTAAAAGTTTAGAAAAAAGTTAATCTAAATCTTCCACTAATTAAGGAGAAACCTCTAAGAAATAAGAAATAAGTAAAAAAAATCCTCTAAGAAATAAGTAAAAAAAAGTAATTGCAGCTGAACAATCTAAAGCTTCAAAACATAAAAACCGTATTTGTTGGTTGAAAAATAACCTTTCAAAGTTATTTGATTTATCAACATGCAGATGTGAACTTCCTCTTTTAAATTGTGATGACAGGTTTGAATTTACATTATCAAAAAGCTACAATATTAAACAATATGTTTGTTCAAACAAATTTGTGACTAAACTGCCAACAACTTTTACAGTTTTTCAGTTTTTTTATTTCTTTTCAAATTATAGGATTACATTTTATTATACATACTACTCTTTAGAAAAGTTCAATGCAAGGGTTGCTCTAACAGGCGCTATGTATGTCTCTGTGAAGAAAGCAAACAGGTTACATTTATTAATATTATTTTTGTGTTATCATTTATTATGCTCTTTATTATTTTAAATTCTATAAGCTATAAAATGAATTTTTTTAATTTAAGGTTCCAGTTCTAGAACAAGAGTATTTAAAGGATCAGAAAGCAAAGCAAGGGCCCTTTGGAACATGGCAGATAGGCCAAATTGGTAGGAAAGAGACAGCCAAGATCACAAGAAAAAGAAGGATAAAATTAATTTAAAAAGTGACACGACACTTCATTTAGATAATGATTGTATCAGTGAAACTTATAATGTGGAAATAGATAACAATCATGATTATAAAAATCAGAATCATGAGTTTTTTTCAAAACCACTGTGTAACAAAATTACACAGATTTAATTAACATTGCCAGAGCTGCTATCAGGTTCGAAGTTAGTGACGCTGCAACATCTGCCATAGCAACTGCAACCTTGACTATCAAATTATAACTCAGAATGACAGATCACAAATTGTCACTGAAAAAAAGATGTTTGACTTTAAAAAGCGTGTTTTAACCATGATTAGTGAAAAACACAGTTTAGAAGTTTTTCATTTGAAAGTCATTGGAGTAGATAGTAAAAAAGACAAAAATACATTAGCATATATATTAGGATATGATCATTATGCAGAACCTATTATTAATAGAACAGTAAATGATGAACATCACTTAACTTTTACTGCAGAAAGTGGACCTTTTTTTAAGAAATATTTAACT